AAAGATCGAGCATATCTCCTTTGTACATTAATATTCGCGTTAATATTCCCATCAGAATTAAATAGATGTCTTTTTACCCCCTGGACCGAAATAGAGTAAGACTCGAAATCTGCTTCTGATCGTCGACTACCATCTGCTCCAGTAGTTGACATGATTGATTATTTATTCCTTGGCCGCAAATAAAATAATCTTACTTAAGTAGCTACTTATCACGATACTAGCCCTTCCTAACAGGGTAGTTCACTGCTATACTAGCCCTTTTGGTACGATGAAGAACTAAGGTAGGTTTCCTTGGTTCATCACAATGGTAACCTCTTCGTTCTCCCGATGAAAGGTTCACGAAAATCTTCGGCTGGTTTACCCTAAAGGTAATCTTCTCGCTCCCTTGATATGAAGGGTTGTTGCAGCTGCTGGCCAGTCTACCCTCCGGTAGTCCAAATCTCCAGATATTTATCTCGTTCTCTATCACCATGTGATAAGACAGTGGTTGATCAGGCTCCCGTCTTCCCAAAAGATACGCTGCCACCAAAAATGTAATGGACCCGAACTGTTGGATTCGATGAAAGGGATTATCACACGCGGATAAATAATAAAAATAATTATCTTTACGCACTATTGACTTTTATTCATTACTTTTACCGATTTTAAATAATTAAAGATTCGCTCCGAGACAAAAGGTATCGGGCGAACAGAAATACAAAAGAGGTAACAGTGAGAAAAAGAGATGTCGAATTACTGGCCAAGAGGCAACGAATTCACGAGTTTTTATATTCCATCGTGTATTCGATTGCATCAGGTCATTGTCTTCGTCGCACACCTGCGAGGCATCGGGTGACATCTCCCGACGCGCGCGAAGGCCAGTCGTTGGGGCGCGAAACGCTGACGCTGCACCCCAGTTATCTACATTCATCGAATATACGTGGTTTTGAAACACGAATATTCGACGTTATTTTATATTTCTTCATTCCCTGTTTTGTTTCGAATAATATGTGCCACTTTCGTGTCCTCATATTATCCGGATCAACAGAGGAATTTCATAACGTTATTACGGGGCATAACAATACTTTCATTCAATTTTTGGAATAGTTTCACCATATCATTTCACATTCTGTCCCTGCGACAGATACCAACATTCTCCAGGGTGTTTAGAAAGAGATAGTTAACCTGTTGGTAAAATGAAATTTCATAAAAAAAATGAATTTCTCGGCAACCAACCGACCGATTGTGCCCATCCAGAGTTCAATCCTTTAATATCATGGAAGCTATAATCATACCAAATTTGAACTTGCTATCTCCATTTTTTATCAAATTATTGAATATACAAGACTGAAAATATGAAAAAAAACTGAAAAATGGCAATATCTCTTGATTTTTGTACGAACGGGTATACATATTTTGATCGATCTAGATAGTGCCCACTGAGACGAGTATTTTGAAAAAAAAATTGGAATGCGTCAAATAGTTCATGAGATATTTAAGGAAATACATCTACATAAAAGGTTGAATATCTCAGGAACCGCTTGAGCGATTGCGCACACCTACAATACGAACCTTTGATGTTATAAGAGCTATAAGTGCACAAAATTTCAACTCGCTATCTCTTTTTTTTATTGACTTATCATGTAAACAAGATTTTTAATGATAAAACAGAAAAACGGCGATATCATAAAATTTCATCCGAACCAATGCAGATATTTTGAATGATCTAGATAGGGCCTATCAAGACGAGTATTTTGAAAAACAAATTAAAATCCGTCCAGTAGATTTTGAGATATTGAGGAAAAACGAAATTTAAAGAAGTTGTTATATCTCAGGAACTACTGGGCCGATCGAGCTGAAAGGGCGCACCAAAGTGAAGCTTACGGGGTCTCCGCAGTAGTTTTGGGTAAAATATGACAATGTGTAAAATTTCAGATTTTTATCGACAAATTTCACCGTATTTATGTTGAATTTTCTAAAAATTAATTATCAAAATGTCGAATTTTCCAGCACATACATACAGACATGACCTCAAAACATCGTTTTTTCACGCTTCATAACATTCTAGATAATTTGCAATTAAAAATAGAGAATCGAACAATCGGTCAAATTCAAGGCTTCCATTCGGAAGCAAAAACATGCACAAACAAAATTTATAGAAAAACTCTTTATTAACTTCCCGATCTATCGGGTAGTTATTGTAATCACCCTGAAAATGAATCATTATTTTTTGCGATTTTTTCACGTTTCTCGGTGTCTAAAACACGCCTGAACACTTCTAAATAACATGTCTGTATGTGTGTGTGTGTGTGTGTGTGTGTGTGTGTGTGTGTAGGTCTGTATGTTACGGAATTTTCGTTAACGATTTCTCCCGAATGAATCGTGTGATCAAGATGACGGATGACGCAATCGAAAGGTCTTCATGTAACTTAGACCTATTTAGATTTTGGAGTGATTCGCTCCAGTGGTTCTTCCAAAATTTCCTGAAGAAAAGTTTGAAAATGGCTAAGATAAATATTTCTCCTGTATAAATGACGTGTTTGGGATTGTCAACATCAGGATATCATTAGAGTCAATCACTCCAGTGTTTTCTCTAGGATTTGCTGAAACTCCAGTGGTTTTTTTAGTGGTTTTGCAAAAATTTCCTGGAGGAAAATTTTAAAATTGCAAAGATAAGGATTTTTCATGTATAAATGATGTGATTTAGATTATTGATAGCAGAATATGATTGGAATGTACCACTCCAGTAATTTTTCTAAAATATCCATGAGGTTATTATGTGGTTATAATAGTATGCTACAATTATTGAGGGGAAATCGTCTGAATAGGACATTGGAGGTAATAAAATGTAGGATGCTGTACGCATTTGAACGTCACATTTGAAGCCCAGATTTTTGCGGAAAATATCCCCGATTTTAAAAAACGCATCCAAGCAAACATGTTCAGATTGAAGAGAGATAGATTCCTCATTTCATCTTTTTTTTCCCGCGCGCCTTCATGCCGTGATATCACCTATCCAACTGGCGTTGGATAATGATTATTTTCTTAATCTCGACACTTCTGTAGCTGTCGATAAACAAGGAAATTCAATTACCAATGAAAATTGACTATGAATCCATGTACTGGGCATATCATGAAATCGAGAGAACGACTAATGACTCATGCAAGAGAGATGGGGAATATCCTTCTATTTTCTTTTCCCCCTCTCTTCCTGTGTTTCGTTTATCCATCACAACACAGTCCTCAACCTAATCATCGGGTGTCTTTGACACATTCAATATTTGATCATTCAGCTGTGAACCGTTTACCTTTCAGGAATGTTTTCATGGTCATCTTTACAATTTTTGTACACAGGAAAGTGATAGAAATTGTCGAGCGAGAGAGAATTGTCTGCTGAAGGCGACAAAAAAATCGTAGAAAATCCTAAAATACGATCGCAGTTTGAGTAACATAAGAAAAATAGTTATTCAATCGAAGCGACAAAGAATTGTTGAATTTCAACAATTGTCTGCTGAAGGCGATAGAAAAGTGTTGAGGATAAACAATTATGTACCAAAGGCGACAAAATATTGTTAGGAAAAAAGTGTCTGCCGGTCAAAACAGAGAATTATTGAGGAAAAGAACTGTCCGCCAAAGGCGACAGAATATTTTGGAACAGAATAATAGTCTGCACTGAGTGATAGAGTTGCTCCTAATTCGAAAACAATACATTACCCATAATTCATAAGAATACATTCTTAGAAAAATTAACAGAGTATTGAGAGTTGAAAAGGATTCTTTTAGTTGTTATGTCCAGAGAAAAATTTTAGCGTCGAAAGGACATGTTTTAATTGTCACATTAAAATCAAAGCTAAAATTATTAGATTTTATCATTATTGGACGACGCAATCTTAATCCTCTTACCTTTTTCTAAAATATAAAGGAAAAGGGTTAGATTTAGGGATAGGGCTTGAGTTGAGACTAATTACTAATCTATGAATTTGGAGGTGTAATGAGAATCAAATTTGAATTTCAATATATTTTGAATAACTATTCGGTTCACAAAAACATAAGCGTGATTTTACAGAAATTTATGTAGTTAAAATTCGTACCCCTGGAATGATCTGAAGGAATCGAATTTGGGTTTACAAATTTTGTTACTCACAATTCGGTCTGTTTTTTATAAATTGATCGATGTGTTTGTAGATCCCTGGGTAAATCCGTAATTTCGTCACCAGTAATTAGTCGTGCTAAAGGCTATTATGGATACTTTCACGGAAACACTTTCTTCTACTCGTTGATATTTTAATAAATTTTAACAGTTGAATTTTAAGAGTTTAAGAGTTTGTTTGAGACTCTCCACAACGCGTCATAATGAACGAATTCCTTATTTGTAAGAAAAGTCACCACTCTCAATTAAAGCAATTTTATTCTCGGATAATTTTAATTGTTCATAACTTACTATTAATTCAGTAATATCCCGCGTAATCGAAGGAAGGATTGCGAAACCGGACCGATTAAATGAACTATTTCCACCAGAATTGTTACTGCTCCGTCGCTGCTTCAAGACTGCTTAATTTTGGTTTTTCTGACATTTTTATATGAATTTTGGGGTCACTTGTCACATGGGCTCCAACGAGTCCAGTTTTAATTGGTGGAAAATTTTTATTGGGGAAGTAGTTCGTTCGGATTTTACTGTTTCGATTCATCGACTTTCAATCGTTCCTCTGTGTGCGAATTTTTAAATTGTGTAATGGGGGCGTGCTGAGTAAGACATTTCATCATGATGCACTCGATTTCAGTGTCTTTGGAATTTTTAGTCGAGTTCAAATGACGATATATCCCACTCAATTATTGAGTTTATTATTTTACATTGTGTCTATATTTTAATTTAATTTTAAATTTTTGCATAAAAATTTTGGATATTACATAGTCAAAATGGGAGGAATAATAATATCGGGAAGTTGTTGGTGCGACCCGTCCGATGGGTCAGGCCCACATGAATACATCTGCTATCAACCCACCCGCAATGGGAGCGAGTGCAGCGAGCGACCAACAGCCCAATCCACTAGTTTATAAATTCTGTCGGAAAATTCGGCAGCTTCTTTTGTGCTCTGTAAATGGAAAAAATCCAATAGAATATAGATGAAACTATGAAAATTCAATAGACAAAAACTAGGAAAAAAAAATGAATGGACGTTTGCGAATGGCCCTGAAACTCCGGGGAGATTTAGATGGTATGTTTAGGGTTTGCTATAAGTTCTCCAAGTTTTGTTGAGAGCAGCTACTGTGTGTCGTGGGCTATTGAAAATAAGTTCTTGAAGAGGCAGGTTTTCTCTTTTGTCAATATTTATTTTTGACTTCACCGAGGCTCTTGCTACTGACGCCTCATAAGCAAGTAGGGCAGCTTCAAGATTTACATTTGATATGAAGCTGAAACTAAATAAACGATAATTTCCGGAGTTCTAGATTGTTATTAATATTGATCTAGAGGCTAAATCACCCGAATGATCTATGTCGCTTCTGAATAAAAGCTTTGTAATCGCTCTCAATAGTCAATTTTTCGAAAATCCAGTACCCAAGTGACTAGAATAATTTTGAAACAACGTTTTTTTATAAGATTATAAGCCTTAAGGTACTTCCTCAGTCAGTTATACCTAGTGAAAATTTCGCAATATAAGAGAGATACGAAATTTAGATCATATATGGTTGAGCAGATTGAAAAACAATTTTCAAAATTTGAAGTATTTTTTCCACGTGACTTTCAGAAATGCCTTGTCAAAAATTATTTTTTTGCTTTTTTTTCGATTCTTGACGATGCATATCTCAAATGTTCGTGTGGAATATGCTCAACAATATATGTGCAATTTTCGTGTCTTTCTTGCATTGTGAAATGTTCACCAGGTATAACTAATTGAGGCCCGGTTGCACCAAGTCCTGATAGCTATTCAAACCCCCAGATAAATTTATCCCTGTATAATTCATATGAGCTGACTGGCTGTTATCTGGCGGTTTAGTTAACAGACGATGGTGCAACTGAGCCTAAGCAAGTACTTTAACACGACTAACTCTATGCACATCTTCAGATGGTTTTTTAAATTTAAAATTCGGAAGATGTAATTTTTTTGCGATAAATTGGACTCTTCCCATGTAGATGTACACAGGCATGATAAAATTGTATTGGAATTCTAAAGGATGTCTATTGGAATTCTATTGAGAAATATTGAGCAAATTTACTAGGTTTTCTATTAAATTACACAATACATTATTGAACATTACAAATTGAGAAGATGAGCTGAAATTTTGTACAGTTTCATTTTCTCATCGACTCATAACGAGACTTTATTTATTCATTCAACCACACTCATCTCACTGCGTTCATCAGAAAAAATTGCAGTTGAAATAAAATGTGAGTAAACTTTATTGAATCGTATTGAATAGGAAACAAAAAAGAAAAGCCAAAGAAAATCATGTGTTCGAACTGGGCTGTCAGAGAAATTTGAGAAAGTTTTTCAACCCCATCCGCTCTCAATTGTAGAAAAGAATCGCTATCAATTTTCAAGAGGGACCGGGGTTAACTCATTTGGCGTGGAATTATTAAATACTTTTAAGAAAAAATATTTTTTTTTCATGTATAACGTGCAAAATTATTCTGAAAATATTTTCAAATCATTCCTCAAATTCTTTTTCAAGTCAAAACACAAAGAATGCCAAAATCAATTCCTTTTTCAACAAATAAATAAATACTATACATAAACCACTATCAAAATCATGCACGCTCATGTCCTAGTAAGTGAAAATTTTACTGAAATGCAGGTTTTCTGATTTGATATGATTGTTACGGGAGACCAGAATGTTTTTTCTCTCGTACTAATTCGTGTGAGAAGAGTACAATCCACTAAAGACCCTCGCGCGTCCAAATATTTCCCGCGTTTCTTCATCACGTCTCTCATCAGTCGATAAACTCATCCGATATATTATCTTCTAAGTTAGGTGCTGAACATACAAACACTGTCGGTAATACTCCCCAGGAAACTGCTTTATCGTCCTGTTTTCCCTGAATACATCGCTTACGTCTATATGAATACAATTTTATTTCATGAGACTTCGAAGGGATAACCAACTAAGAGGGCGCCACCTTCAACAAGTGATATAATTCTTTATTTGAATTCCCCTTGGGGATACAAAGAACTTCCGTTTTCCGCCTTCCTTCTCATATTTGCTTTTAGATATTTTCTATTCTAGTTTATAATTCTACTTTAATTCTAATTTAGTTTTTTATATATATATATTTACAGGCTTATATCTATGACATCTTACATCTATGCAACTGTTTGAGAGTGACTGAGCGAATGCGAGAGAGAAACGTGCGAGTGTGAGGCTGAGTAGAACCCCCGCTTCCGGTCTCCGAACCATCTCTGTATACCATCCAGAGTTCTATCTCTCCCCTATCCCACCCCTTAATCTCCCACCCCTCCCCCGTCACCCTCCCCCCTACATTCACAGCCACCCCTCTTCCCTCACTCATTCATCTATTCTACACAATCATTCCTTCCTTTTCCCAATCATCTATCCATTCTCTCCTCCTCCCTCCTCGTTCAGAATCTCTGTTATCCTCTCCCATACACTTCTTTCCTCTCCCTCTTCTTGTCTACATTCCTCCAGAACATGCACCCAAGTTTCCTCACTTACCCTGCATCTCCTACATCTTTTCCTTTCTTCCTTTTCCCATGATCTCTCCCCTCTCATTCCATCCCCTAATCTGTGCCTCATTAGCCTGTTCCACCTCTCCTCCCTCCATTCCTTCATCAGATATTTCGGAATATCCTCTACTATTACCGCCTTGTACCATCTATTTGACGATAACCTCAATATCCTCCCCCATCTCTCCTTCTTCTGATTTTCCCTCTCGATTTCCTGAATTTTTTCGAATCCTCCCATTGCTTCTCCCGCCTGCTTCTCATTCCCTCCTATTCTATATATCCCTCTTTCTATCTTGAAGTTCCTTCTCTTCATCTCCCATCTTGATACTACGGACCTGTTCCCCCTCCTATCCAACTCCTTTAGGCAGTTCCTGGCAATGCTGCTACCCTCCCCCCTTCTCAATTTCTCTTCAAAATTTCAAGCTCTTTTCGCTGCCCTCGTCCTCAATTTCTCCCTCTTGAGTTCTTCTCTTATGAGGTACCCCGGAGTTCCTCTTCCCAATCCAAACACCCATCTTAAATACCTCTCCTGCAGCCTCTCTACCCCCTCCCTCTCCTTCCACCCCCATATCTCAGCTCCGTATCCCATCACCCACCACACTAAGGTGTCAAACAACCAAACTCGTCTTCTCCAGTCTTTTCTGAATCTCCTTTTTCCAATCCCCCATACCGGACCCATTACCTTTCCGGCCTTTTCTATTCTACTCTTTACCTGCCTCTCCTGTCCCCCATTCTTCTGAAACCAATAACCCAAGTAACAGAACTCCCTCACCTCTTCCATTTCCCTCCCTGCCAGCCGCCACTTCTCACCACCCCTCCCCTTCCTCCCCCCTTTTCTGAATACCATTACCTTCGACCTCTCCGCATTAATTGTCAAATCTTTCCCCTTCATATACTCTCCCATTATTCCCAGCATCAGTCTCAACCCCTTTTCCTCTTCCGCCAACACCACCATATCATCCGCGTATGCCAACGAAAATATCTTCGTTGCCCCTAATACTAGCCCCCCTTTTCCTCTCTTTCGCAGCACTTCCTCCAGATCCGCCAGCAGAATGTTGAAGAGAATAAGACTCAGCGAGCAACTCTGCCTGACTCCCCTAGCCGTCCAGAACTTCTCCGTAACCTCTCCCCCAACCCTCACCTTCCTTGCAGTCTCCTTATAAATTTCCTTAACCCTCTCCGTAAGTCCCTCCGATATTCTCCTCTCCCTCATTACTTCTCACAACAGCTTCCTATTAACCGAATCAAAAGCAGCCTTTAGATCTATAAAACAGGCCACCATCTTCTCTCCCTTCTCCCACAACTGTCTGTTTACCAGATAGTTCAATACGAATATATTGCCTAATGTTCCCATACCTCTCCTGAATCCTGTCTGGTTGTCCGGCACTATTCTCTTCCTTTCAACTTCTTCCTCAAGCCTCCTGGTCAACACCGCTGCATACACTTTATACAATGTTGGCATCAGTGTGACTCCCCTGTAATCCTTCACCTTCCTTCCCTCCCCTTTCTTTATGATCGGAGCCAGAAGGCCGTCCTTCCATTCCTTCGGCCACCCTTCCCCTTTCCAAACTCTATTGCATATCCGCCATGCTAATGTTTTTATTCTCTCTCCCCCCTCCTTCCAAATCTCGTTTTCTATCTCGTCCTCCCCCGCCGCCTTCCCGCTTTTCAGTTTGAGAATCGCATCCTCAACTTCCTTCTGCGACAGCCCCTCTCCCTCTTCCTCCGTTTCTTCCCTTCTTCCCTCCCCAATAACCCTTCCGTCAACTCCTCCCAACAGCCTTATGAAGTGATCTTTGTACCGTTCCAATCCTAATCCCTCGTTTATCTTTTTTCTCTCCTTTCTCTCCCTATTAATCACTTCCCACACTCTCCCCCCTTTATTGCTCTTTCTACTTCCTCTTCAAACTTTGCTTGCTCCTCTTCTTTTTTCTTCCCACACATCCTATTGAACTCCCTCTTCTTCACTCTGTACTCATCCCTATCCGCCTTCCCTCTTCTAGCCCTCCTCAGAGTCCTTCTTACCTCTTTCTTGTTTTCTTTGCATTCCTCATCCCACCAGTCCCCCCATACTTTCTTTTTCTTTTTCATTTCCTTATCTATCCTTTCCTTAATCTCTTTAATTCTCACTTTCACTTCCGCCAGTGTCTCATCCACTTATCCTTCTTTCCATTCCACTCTCTCCAGGTGCTCCCTTAGCTTTTGCTTCTTATCCTTTCCCCAAAAGGAGACTTTGACCGATCTCTTTCCGTTCTTCCTTCCTCTCTCCCTCCCCCCGTCCACTCTTCCCCTATCCTGTTCTTAAGCTTCTCTGACATCTCGTCCCAAAACCACGGTTCTCTATCTATCCATAGCCTATCCCTTGCTACATTCACCCTTCTTTCCTTCCCACTTTCAACTCTTTCTACCTG